AGGAGGTCTCCTTTGGGTGGAGTGTGCGTCAGTCCTAGGGCGACACTATCAGACCAGCAGTACCAGCAGCTCGCCCTGGACACACTGGAGGAGCTGGACTGGTGCTTAGACCAGCTGGAGACCATCCAGACACACCGCTCTGTCAGCGAGATGGCCTCCAACAAGGTTTATAACTAACACCGTACAAACCTACTAACATGTCACCAGCCGTAGATCAGCTCATAACCATGCAGATGAATCATTACATTTTGATTTTTGCTATCAGTTAATACATGAATTGGTGCCTCTGTGCTGATCTGTGCTGTAAGTAATAATTATAGGACACTAATCAGAAAATGTAAAAATCTATCTCCAACATGAATCTCAGTAGTTTGTTTTTTTTTCAGTCATTTTACTGTTTCCTTAAACCTCTGGACTCACTCAAAGCCCAGAATCCAAACAGGCCTTCTGTTTTGAATAATAACGCTGAGTTTCCTGAGGGAAGCCTCAGGTTGACTCACACCATCTTTGTGTTTTGTTCTCATTCTGCCACAGTTTAAGAGGATGCTGAACAGAGAGCTCTCTCACCTGTCAGAGATGAGTCGCTCCGGGAACCAGGTGTCTGAGTACATCTCCAGCACCTTCATGGGTGAGCGGGACCAGAATGTGATTTCTGTCCACATCGCATTTATGACCTTATCCAAATTAAAAACTATAAATCCACTGTGTGTGTGTGTGTGTGTGTGTGTGTGTCTTCAGACAAGCAGAACGAGGTGGAAATCCCGTCTCCCACTCTGAAAGATAAACCCATGAGTCACATCAGCGGAGTGAGGAAACTGTCTCACAGCTCCAGCCTCTCCAGCGCTTCCATGCCTCGCTTCGGCGTCAACACGGACCACGAGGATGAGCTTGCCAAGGTGCTGTTTTCTATCTGCGTTATTCGCACTCGCCATCAAACTTTGCTCAGACTTGAGCTCGGATCTCTGAAAAATGATATTATTTTTCATGACTTTGGCATTGTTTTTCCCTTCTAGCAGCAAGAAACAGATGTACGCACGTACCCTGTATCTGATAGAAACATAAGCAAACATGATTATATCCCACGTTACTGTATACTTTATGCAATCGAGAAAGTTTGGCTTGGCTTTTCAGAAAATAACTGCAAGTACTGACTTGTTGTAAGAAAAAAGTGCTCGTATATTTATTAGGTTTATGTCTGTTGACATACCAGCTGGAGTCTTTTATTAATCCTTTTGTCTGCTTTCTAGTGCCTGACGCCTGCTTGTTTAATTCCATCCAGTCTTTAGCACCACATTTTTTGGAAGGTCCACAGGGGGGTGGAGACTGTCTCTGACTGCTTGGTCATGCAGCACATAAATCACATTAAAGTATGCTAGATACAAACATAAAGCTTTGTTCCTCTGCCATTGTAATTAAGAACTGGACCAAGTGACAGATATTCTCTATACATCTGTGGACCACCTACCACTAAGGCTCAACTGTCAAGGTTATGCTGAGAGACATCAAAGCAGTGTCTGCTGTGTGATTAGTGTTGAAATGGTGCCAGAGCTCAGGGATGGAAGCACTGGAAGTCTGCTCATGTTTGGGATGGAGGATGATTTGAACTTTCAACTGTTTGCTCAATGAAGTCTTGTCAGGAAACATTATGTAGGTTAATACAGAGTGACCTTAGACTTGATTTAGAGTCATGTGTTTGACCTTTGGGCTAAGGTCTGGTGCTAAAGTCTTAAACTACCATCCATGTATTTATCTAGCTGGGGCGATCATGGCTCAAGAGTTGCCAGTTTGAGCCCCGGCTTGGACAGTCTCGGTCGTTGTGTCCTTGGGCAAGACACTTCACCCATTGCCTACTGGTGGTGGTCAGAGGGCCGGTGGTGCCAGTGTCTGGCAGCCTCGCCTCTGTCAGTGCGCCCCAGGGTGGCTGTGGCTACAATGTAGCTTGCCATCACTAGTGTGTGAATGGATGACTGGTATGTGTAAAGCGCTATACAAATACAGGCCATTTATTTATCTGTTTTGCTGGCAAATAAATAAATAGTCTTCAGGAAGAGTTCTTTGGATTTTTGCTGCCTTTTGTTCTGTTCTCGGTCAAAATGATCCCACACTGCTTCAGTAACGTGTAGGTCTGAGTTCTGGGGAGGCCGATCCATGACTGATAGGGTTCTACTGTGTGTTCTTCTATCCATGTATGCTTTTACTGCATTAGCAGTGGGCTTAAGATCATTTTCATGCTGAAAAATGAAGCCACTGCCAGTCAGAATGAACATTTCCGGGTTCAATATTCCATCATTTTTGCGAGCCCCAACACCACTGGCTGAAGGCTCTCTGTTGTTCCTCTCTGCTGACCTCCTCTGTACATATTAATGACAGTTGTGTGTCTTTGGAATTTTTAAAATTCATTTAAGAACAAGTTATGTGTTTTGGCAATATGCTGTTAGTAGCAAAGTGACTAAAGATACAATTTGGAACGGGTTCTTTGTTGTCTGTAGACACAACACTTGTTCATACATTGAGTTTGGTTCTTTTTTATGTTTGAGTGATTCGTAGGTCAGTTTTAAATGACTTACTAAACATCTTCTAAAAATGGTCAAGTGCAAGAATTGGACTGAAAATGAGGGAATGTCCAAAGAAAATCTTTTAAAGACCTTCAGAAAACTGGAGAATTGTTGCTCTACACCACTTTTAAAAGTTACAAGAAAGTCTGGCCCCTTGAAAGTAGAGTATACAGCCCACTGTACTGTAAGGAGGACTTTAATACGACCGTCTAAAAGTTTTGATGAAACATTTTTGAAACAGTGTGATTTTCAAGCTATGGCTCGCTTTACTTTGTGTGTTGAAACAGGAGCTGGAGGATCTGGACAAGTGGAGTTTTAACATATTCAGAGTAGCAGAGTTTTCCAACAACAGACCTCTCAGCTGCATCATGTACGCCATCTTCCAGGTAAAGAAAATAATCGTATAAATGTGGACTGTTCGTGTCTGTGCTCACGTACACGGTGTACTCCCTCTTCTTCTGTCTCGCTCCTCCTCAGGAGCGAGAGCTGTTGAAGACATTTCGTATCCCAGTCGACACCTTTGTCACTTACGTGATGACCCTGGAGGACCATTACCATGGAAACGTAGCGTACCACAACAGCCTCCATGCTGCAGATGTCACCCAGTCCACACATGTTCTTCTCTCCACACCTGCTCTTGATGTAGGTCAACACGCACACAAACACACACACACCTTTGATGTCCATTCACACATAAGGAGAGAGGCGTGAAGAAAAGGTGGAGAGAATAAAAAATCAAAGCAAAGAAAGACAAACATCTTCTAACTGAAACATCTGGGTACTTTCATGAAAGCTGAACATGATTTAACCCTTTTTCCTCAAACAAATAGACCTATTTAAATAAGTGTGTCATGCTGTAATACATTATATATTAAAATGCATTTTATTCACGTGTCTAGATAAAAAAATATGTTTGAGCTTCAAGTTTCCTCAGACATTTAGCCCAAGGCCTCAAACTGACCTGTTCACCATTTCTAAATTGCACCTGTGGCTGCTCTGATTCCTCCAGTCCACATACTGAAGGATCCTTGGGCAAGATACTCAACAGTGAGTTGCCCCCAATGCATCCATCCAACTCTGAGTGTGTATGTCTATGTTAGAAAATCCCTTGGGCATAGATGAAAGTGCTGTATGGCGCACTTTGAGGGCTGAGTAGAAAGGTGCTATACAAGTACCAGTCTTTACGGGTTAGTAGAGTAACAACTGTTTAATTTAAATAAATTCAGTTGTATTTATATACCGCCAATTCACAACAAGAGTTGCCTCAAGGTGCTTTATACTGTGAGATAAAGACTCTACAATAAAACGCCAACAATCAGAGGATAATGTTTTGAGCAAGTACTTGGTGACAGTGGGAAGGAAAAACTCCCTTTTAACAGGAAGAAACCTCCTGCAGACCCAGCCTCAGGGAAACAGACATCTGTCACAACTTGTTGTGGGTGAGGGGATTCAACTGTGGATCCAGGTGTTAGATTATCAACAGAAAAGAAACGCGTACCTGATCTAACACACATGGTTCTATGGAGAAGCTGCACCTGAGAAACATCCCGGAAAATGAATAACAATTTAAAAAAGATAAAAAGCTGGAGAGAGTGTTTTTACTTTTGTCACATGTTTGTTAATGTGTTGCATAAAAAGCTGGAGCCCTTTTATGTGGTGACATTGCATCCAAAGCAGACTGACCACGTGACCCTTATTACACCGTGGCTTATGCAGTGATGTAAAAACAAAGAAATCTTAAGTTTAAAAGATTTTCACAGCATTATGACTTGAGTATGAAGTATAAGTAATACTTGGGCTGATATTGATCACAGATTAAAACACACAAACAATGGAAGCTGGGTTCAGTGTCACTGTGGTTGCTGTTTTCTTCTACTGGAAATAAAAGAACAACATCTGACTTTATCTGGGAATGCATTTGTCTCCCCCACACTGAGACAGTGTTCCATATTTTGAGTAGCTCTAGTTTTCAGGACAGCAGGACAGCCGCTTTTCTGTCTGGCTTGCAAAGAAAGCAGGAAAGGCTGTTCTTGTGGGTCAAGTGCAGGTTAACCCACCACGAGCTTTTGCTGCTTACACAATACACAAAATCAAGGAACTACAAAGTTACAAGCGGCACAGTTTTTGGCAGAATATGGAAATGCAGTTATAAAAATGACTGGAAACAGGATTACAACTGGATGAAACCACTGGAAGACCCAATTTTTTCTAGTTTTACAGAGAGGGGAGAATATAATGTGACGTGAAGTCTACAGAATGAATCCCAAGAAAAGGCGTTAAAACATTTTATACAGTTTTTAAAGGCAAAAAGGGAAAATATGACTCCAAGAAAACTGCTGCAAAAGGCAATAAGAAGACACAAACTCTTAGAACAGAGTTTGTGTGTGTTTGTTGTTTAAGTTAGATATAATTTTGTGTCTTAGTAGCAGCATGTCCCATACTGTCTCACATTTAGCTGCGGTATGGTCACGTCTGCAAAGACGTAAAAGTAAAAACATTTATCCATATTCTTCAACTGCCGTATGTTCTTTGCTATCAGACGCACCTTCTTGCATTTTATTAGCACAGAAACTAGTTTTGAAACTGTCAGAGGTATTGACTTTTGTCTCCTGCCCTTCTTGTCATTTCAGGCTGTCTTCACTGACCTGGAAATCCTCGCCGCTCTATTTGCTGCAGCCATCCACGATGTAGACCATCCCGGAGTTTCCAATCAGTTCCTCATCAACACCAGTGAGTTCACACACGCTCACACACTCAAACACATGCTTTGATATTTGCACACGCTGTGTTCACACCCCCTCCTCTGCGCTCAGACTCAGAGCTGGCCCTAATGTATAACGACGAGTCAGTATTGGAGAACCACCATCTCGCCGTGGGCTTCAAGCTTTTGCACCAAGAAAACTGTGACATTTTCCAGAACCTTACCAAGCGGCAGCGCCAGAGCCTTCGCAAGCTCGTCATCGATATGGTAGGGAACTAGTTTTAAAATAATGTAACAGTAACCTAACAGAATTTCATTTTTTTCTATTATCATGCAAATGATGTATGAATCTAATTAATCATTTTTAGTTTTAGTCTTATTTTATTTAGTTTTAAAGATTTGTATTCTCTTAAGATTCTCTTAAGTGTTTTTTTAAACACCTTGAACAGGAAACTGAATGTATCTGTTTTGGTTCTCCTCATTTAAGCTAC